ATTCGACGTCACTAAAATTTACGTGCATGGAAACGTATATTACTCCCACTTTCATTTTATCACCAAAACGCGTAGCCTTGCCTACAAGCAGCAGTGCGTGCGCACAGGTGCGGGATATACGCGTTGGTTGCTTCCTTGTGTCAATTCGTGTCGCTTCAGCACACTGCCACAGGTGAATGCTACGACTGCAGAGCTTGTCCATAGAGAGTGCCACGTTTGTTTTACGGGCGATAACAGTTCGTTGTGATTTATGGTGTCATCACTCCATAGTTTCAATCTTCGAGTTTCCCGACTGTTTTTAATATGATCATTGTTTACTATGAGACGTCTCTTGAAATAAAGTGTATGTAGCGTGTATTGCATGCCGTAGGGTATGCATCGCAAAGTGATCTGCTGCGGTGTTCTAGTGGTTATGGAGCTGGGATGCTGACTCTAAAATCTCGGGATCGAATCCAAAGCCCTGGCAGCCGCCTTTCAAAAGAGGCAAATTCTGGAGGCCCTAGTGCCTAAACTTTGGCGCACGTGGAAGAGCACCAGGCAATCGTAATTGTTCGGAGCCCTCTACAGTGGCGTCTGTCATAGTGACTTTGGGACGTAACAACTGAGAATATGAGTTATTGCATTATAAAGTACAACCGTCAAAAAAAGAGAGTGAGCTTGCAAATATGGTCAAAGGAAAGCAGAACGAGACAATCGAAAAATCTCAGCATATCCACGGAGTGAATATTGACGAGTGGGGCGAAGCATCTGTCAGTCCATCCGTTCGTCCGTCCATCAGTCCGTGCGTTCGTCAGTCCAATCGTGCGTCCATCCGTGTCTCTGTCCATTCGTTCATCCACCTGTCTGCTTGTCTGTCCGTCCGTGCGTCCATACCATCTCAATTCTTTTCATCATATATTGATTCTATGCAAGTACCGCCATCTAGCGAACATGACAAGAACTAAAGTCCCCTGTGGCTTATACCTGAGAGAGGTGGTTACTACAGAGGACTATCCGGGGACGCCTTAAGAAGCTTCGCCCCTAAAAACGACGACTACGGCATGTAGAGCCTCAAAAAATTATAAATGAAAAACTTGCGTGCACAGGTTCAGGTAGGAGCACCACCTGTTAGACGGGCACTCGTGCCGACCACTGCTTAGACATTTCATTGCATCTGCGAAAGGCCACAGAAGGCTGGCTAGCACGAGTGACTCCATTCGAATCCTGGTCATTTGGGCGTATTTCTTCGTTTCTGCATTTTTTTAAAAACGTCGCATTTATTAAATTTGGACGTGCGCTTACTGTGTCCACAGTGCAAAAATTACAGCATATCCACGGAGTGAATGAGGGGGTGAAGCGTCCGTGCGTCCGTCCGTCTGTCTGTCTGTCTGTCTGTCTCTCCGTCCGTGCATCTAGGGAACACTCCAAAGTACCCCCATCTCGCATGTTTTCATCGTACATTCATCATATACAAATACCGCCATCCAGCGGGCATTATATAAGAATGATGATGGTGATTATGATGATGATAATGATATGTGGGGTTTAACGTCACAAAACCGCCATATGCTTATGGTGGAGGGCTCCGGAATATTCGACTACCTGCGGTTCTTTAACGTGCACCCGAATGTGAACACAGTGGCCTACAGCATTTTTGCCTCCATTGAAAATGCAGCCGCTGCAGCCGAGATTTCATCCTGCGACCTGCGTGTCCGCAGCCAAGTACCTTAGTCACTAGACCACCGCGGTGAAGCTTATTTTAAGTAGTAAACTAGAGGTGGCTACTACTACAAACACGGGCGTACGACGCACGGAGTAAAGAGCTGCACCCTTAAAATGGAATAGATGGTAAGGCTTGTGCTACTTTTTATGCGACCGTAGCCTCTGATTAACACAATGACCAACCTGCCCTGCGTTTAAACTGCCGCATTTAAAAGCAATTGTAAAAACAGCACCACTATAGCGGTCTAGAAATTTGTAATGTCGTTTTTTAAAACAAGTTACAGTCCGTTTCTTGTTCCTTGTAGGCTCATTCTTTCTCTGCAGGGTGGCTTGATTCTCGCCCAGCTTACTCGTAACCGTAAGACACACGTTAATGCCACACTTATTTGCCTTATTCTTCAGCTTGCAGAGTGACAACGTTTGGATGTAAGACACAGCTACTACACTTTTGTGAAAGATTTGTACAGCGTTGTTCCGAAGAAGTGACGGACCTTTTTAAACGTTCAATGAGAATGGCTACAGCAACATGATGGTAACCAAATTTGCAAGAGACCCGAAAGCTTATAGAATAAAAGCTGCCGTTCATTTTCTGCCTACAACATTTTGTGATAGAGGGCACTGTGTTCTGCGCGGACACTTTATTTTCGTAGCTTTAGAATGTCCTAATGAATGGTATAACTGTCCGTTCAAGCCACGAATAAACAGAAAGGAAGAGATGACAAGCGCGAAAGAGAACGGACAGTTACACCATGCATATCCAACTAGCCCGACTTTCGATTCTGTCTAAATGAATGCTTTGGCAACGGCTTTGGAGATCTACAGTATCACTAGCCCCGTGGTTGTCCTCAGACCACACCGAAATGTCTAGGAAGTTTACGGCACTAATAAAACTAAGCATAGTGATATCTTCGGTTTAACATCCCAAACTTACGTTGTGATATGAGAGACGCCGTATAGTGGAGGGCTTCGGATATTTAAACCACACGGGACCACACAAGGAACGAAGACACGTTACTATGCGTATTGCCTAAAGACCACGTAGTGGGTGCATAGGAAGTTCGAAAAAAAGAATCACGTACATAGGCTGTGTTTCAATTCTTAGACAGCACGTATACAGTCTACGAAGACTGATTGGAAGACAGCATCGAGTCCATGCTGTCCGAGAAAGGGAACACACTTAGACGTCTTTTACGCGACATTGCGCCACCTCGCGACGAGAAAAAAAAAGCTAAAATAAACAAACGCAACAGTTGTATTTTCTGGCTGATTTTGTGTTCAAATCAAAAACAAATAAACTTTACTTACATTGAGCGTCTGAAAAAGCATCAACTTGTGTGCAGACGACCATTCCGGCGATATCTGATCTATCCGAGCGATTCGCTCAGCCGCCATCTTGCTTAGACAGCAAAGAAGCCTGCATCGTATTTGTCTACGATGCGGTCTTCTCGGAGCTGTCTATTTTGGCGGCTACGTGAGAATTGGAATGGGACTTAAGATGGCCGCCGTCCATTTAGCTGTCTATTTAGCCACGTACGGTGAGTATTGGAACACAGCCATAATTGCTCGTGGTTTGAAGCATGCTACCCATTACACATAATGCATAAAGCTTCCCTGACAGACAGACAGCTTATTGATTACATTGGGTGTAAGTAGTTGAAATACACACTAGTATATGGAGAGAAATCACTACTACGTTCCACTCCTAAAAGCGATGCTTAAGGATCCCCCAGTTTTTTTTTTACCTTGAATAAAATCTTGAATTGTGGTCTTCCATCTGTAACCTGCTACGGCCCTTAGCCCACAACGAGTGTGAATGTTTTCGCAAATAAGATGCCTCGTTAATCACACAGCACACAGCGAACAGCACACACAATATTTGCAGTTTCACCACCCGTAAAGGCGAACCAACATTCCTTGTAGCGCACTTCTGTCGGCACTAAAACGGAGGTGGTAATCCAGTTTCCTTTTCGATTGCTTTATAGACAGCACGGCCCTGGCCATCGGTTTCTCAGGGTAGCGGGCTTGGTCAGAAGATCGCCATTACGAGTGCACCACGCCACTTGAGTTACGTCGGCGAAAAGCTGGGGGTGATACACCTCACAAAAACATTTCTTTCAGTTAAAGAATTCATACTTTCTTATCATTTCGCAAATGTCGAGCAAATACACAGAGATTTCCAGTGAGATACATTGTGCATATTTTTATTCCGACGCCCAAGAAGAGCTTTCTGACGCTTAATGTAAAGATTTTCTTTTAGTAAATGTGAAGGTCAATTTTTTTTCAGATGATCTGCTATACTTTCAGCACCTAAATTATTTTTCCCTTTGAGCATGTATGAAAGGTCATCAGCACATCTTTAATTTGAGCCCTTTGAGTTTCCCATGTTCACGAAAAAATACGATTTCACAGCTGTATTCAGTTGTTCTTGTGCGAGAAGTCCTCGAGGAATCATTACACTTAAATAAGTCATTACTTTCAGTATTACATTAACAAGTATTGCGCTAAATATCATTTTATTGAGTGCATCCAATAGACTTCCTTAAACAATTTTTTAATGTCCTCCAATCCTTTCGTCTGAAAACTAGACTCTCACAAATAAGCAGGATAATTTTTCGGAACAGAAATAATCACGACGACTTTCGAACTTAAAAAAAAAGTCGAAATTTTTTCAGCGCTATTCGTGATACTCAGCAAAACACTGACTGATTCGGCATTGAATAACCTGAAAGTCAGTTCACGTTTTTCTGCGAAACATATCAACCTCCCTTATAGCCACGCTGCCTTCGATCGCCTACATAAATGCCGCCATTTTGATAGCTTCCTTAACTGAAGCGGTCAACCTTAGTTTAGCACAACCATGGTTAGTGGCATACGTGTATGTAGGGTTTTCTGTATAGTTGGGTGTGTTGATGGTTTAACAAAACTGGGGTTCATCGTACCTGATGTTTTAGTGGGTCCGAGCAACTACCGTGTAACAGTAAGACTGCGTAGGAGTAACTGGATGTGGATGAATAAACCAGGCTGTGTTGCTTTTTAAGTATTACAGTAATTGTAGCAGCCCTAATTTATCCGGAAATGACAAGCTACAGCCCATTTTTACTCTCTCTTTCCTTTGAGTACTGCGCAAAATCTAGTCCACTCTAGTTCATGGTGTATACTTGCAAGCTCAGATTTTGTTCTCAGCGAGGTGCGAGCACTTGGATATTTTTAACAAGCGCGTCGGGTTTTACATGCGTACGAGAGAGCAGAGACGCTTCTCTGGGATGGTTCTGCCTGACTACCTGATGCTCCTTCTGCAGGTTCCCACATCTGACGGTCAAGAGGTGGCTGTGCTGTTCATGGACACGCAGGGGCTGTTTGACAGCAAGTCGACACTGCCTGAGAGTACCACCATCTTTGCGCTAAGCGTCATGATGAGTTCAGTGCAGATCTACAACATTCTTCAGGATGTCCGAGAAGACCACCTTCAGGTTCTCGAATTTGTCACCCAATATGGCCAACTGGCGCAAAAGGTACATTTGCAATCGAGCGACAACCCAGCAGTATCGAATACTGGTTGCCAAAACTATTTTTATATGACTTGGCAGGAAGCGACGGGAAAGCCCTTTCAGAGACTCGTGTTCCTGGTGCGAGACTCAAACGACGGAACCTACGGGGCAGATGCTGGCCGCTCACTCATCACAGAGCGTTTGCAAGCAGCAACAGACCGGAAACCTGAGGTCCGGCAACTGCGAAAGTACATAAGCAACAACTTTACCGACATCGATTGTTTCCTCATGCCGTATCCTGGAAGTAAGGTACACTGATATATTTATGTATATTTTCTTCAAATGCATGGCAAAACTTTCGTTGTGCGTGATATTCAAGTTTAAACGCCATATAGCCATGAATCACCCTAATTATTGCCTAAATGGGAAAATCTTCAAGCAGCTTATTACACTACACTTTTATTTTCAAAGTATATGTGCTTGAACAAAAAGAAACATTATATATGATGGCTCTCCAAGCCGCGTCATCATCTTACCATCATGTCTTGATTTTTCACAAGGCTAATGTGATGTAGTGCTTCTGATAGAAAAGTGAGCGTCACAAAAGACAGCTTTTTACAGCTGTGTCGAGCTTTTCTATCTTGATGATCGCTGTGATAACGCTTTTAGTAGTTCACTTTCTCTCGTTGTTACTCTTGAGTAACGTTTGATTGGTGCAACAGACGATCGCACTTCAATAATGACATTGTTTGTTTTATTGTAAGTTTTAGTATCCCCTGTGGGTAGTGTTGGAGCACTTGAATATATGATGCATATTTAGTATTGCTGCCAGCTGGAAGTGCTGGCTTATGTTCATGACGTTAAAGCGTTTAAAAAAATAACACCTTTTGAAGACCACAAGACAAGGCTCTACTAAAATTGTCGAATATACAAACCACAAGAATGCCGTTTCATGTCCCGTGTTCCACCTTGTCACCTTGTCCCGTGTTCTTCAAAAGTCCGCTCTCTCTATAGCACTTCATCGGCATGAAGCACATTTCGGTTATCTGGCAGCTTTTGTTTTCTTGTTATTTTTTTCTGAATCTATTTTTTTGTGTCGATTGCACTTGCACATCGAGTCATCAATAAGCGTCCTGCTTGCGCAGGTGGCAACAGAACATTCGTACGATGGTTGTCTGAAGGATAGTGATCCACAGTTCAAGAATCATCTGCAGGACTTTGTCCCTTGGATATTAGGGCCGGAGAATCTGGTTGTCAAGAAGATAAACGGCAAGGCAATATCTTGTCAGGAGCTCCTTACCTACATTAAGGTGAGCGAACACTCCACAGATGTATTGCAGCGTCCCTACATCACGAAAATGTGGTGGCTCTGCCGCCGGGTGTTTAGCTTTGCGTGCTGAGTTTTCACTGATGCTCTCAATGTTTTCTGTCGTGCCAAAAAAAAAAAATAAACGGCACATTGACGAGTCCTGTGGCGGTTACTGAGGCAAAAAGACACAGAAGTGCAGGAATAAGTTCTAGTGCTACATAGGCCAACTGTGGTGAATTCCTTTTCCACGATGTCGATCAGGAAACACACAGTTGCCCAAAGTACACTGGATTTATTTATAATATTTAACAGTACAAGAAAGAGGTGCTGCCAAACATCACGACGAAAACATGAGTGTCAGTTCCTACGTCTTTTCTCGACCACTCTTTCTTTTCGAAGTGTAGTGGTTTGGGCTAGTTGGTATGACGTGACGATAGTTACAGCGCGAGAACAGAACGACGACAAAAGGACAAGAAGGAGACGAGTGCTCGTCTCCTTCCTGTCCCTCTGTCGTCGCTCTGTTCTCGCGCTATAGCTATCGTCTTTCTTTTCGGCTGACTCCTCTGCTGCCACCACTTGTATCCCCCAAAGCACCCCTTTTTCTCCTCATGCGCCTCTGTTTCCCCGAACGCACTCATTGAAACAGCGTAGCAGGAAATAGCTTTGTCGCCCGAGTCCCCGTCGACGAAACGACAAACATGGGCCGTTTGCAACATTGACCCACCGAATGAGCTCCGAAACTTCCAGGAAGAACAATCGCTGAACGGGGTGCCTCACGAGCTTGCCCTCCGGTATCCTGACCAGGCTTAAGCGCACCTTCTCATCTCTTCCGCAAAAGGCTGAAACGGTAACACCGTGTTTCCGCAGCAGGCGCGGGATATTTTTTTCCACTAACAAAAAGTCCCCAACTTTAAGCTCTGCTGTCTTTGTTTGCTTGGTGCATATAGGCCGAGCGCAGCTGTAGAAGGTGTTTGTGTCGCCAGGCTGCCAAAATGCGCAGAGCTTCTGCTTACGCTTCTTTCAAAGCGTACGTACGGAAGACACGTTAGCGAAGACTCATGTCGCGGTTTCTGTTTGCGGAAGGCTTGTAAAGGGCCGACCACTGGTACGCACGTGCACTCGCCTACGCGTCAAAAGCGTCTAGTCACGCATGGGGAGGAAAAGGGCACGCAACCAGTGGTACGATTCAACCACGTCGATGTTGTCCCGTTACTGGTCATTGACTGCATATTAACTCTATTGTACTGGCGTCCAAGACCGATGTGCAGTGGGGCTTGATCTTTCGGTTTAGGACTGTTCGAATTCAGCACAGAACGACGCATTCTCAGCTGGAGCGAGTTCTCACGTTTTCAAAAATATAAGAGCGTGTTCAAATAGTTATTGCGCTACACCTACCGCAGTTTTTCACTATCTAAGAAGTAATTGACATCGCAGTGACCAAAGTAACTACCACGGTATGCACCGGAAATGAACATCGGTGCGTGCACTGCTCCCGCAAACTAAAGTTCGCGTCCGGGATCCTGTACGTCTATCATAGGCGTGGGTAGTGTTCTCCTTCGAAAAAGAGGTGGGGGGGGGGCAGAGCTTGTCGCAGCGCCCCTCCAACCATATTAAGTCAATGGATGTGGCTTACTTAGTGCCTACCTCCCTATTGTATTAATTTATGATGTCTTCTTTGCGCCCCCCCCCCTCTTCGGTGTCTAAAGAGGGTGGCCGATCCCCTGCACCCAAGACGATTGCGAAATTGCTTCAAGGCATCATCGTAATCACGTTGAAGGGGAGCGGGTTGCTATCTTGCCGCCGGTTCCATATCACCGAAGACCGGTTCTTTTGCTCACCACTAGATGACGGGGCTAGACTCTGTGGTTGCTATCGCTTCCACTTGAACGCGCTACAAGCAGCCGCCGGAGCGAGGCGGGAAAGGCGTTCGCGTGTTCCCTTTCATAAAAATTGACATGGTACATTTGTAATGTTTATACAGCGCCCCTCCACGATGGTCTAGTGGCTAAGGCACTGGGTTCCTGACCCGCAGGTCCTGGGCTTGAATCCCGGCTGCGGCGGCTGCATTTCCGATGGAGGCGGAAATGCTGTAGGCCTGTGCGCTCAGATTTGGGTGCACGGTTAAGAACCCCAGGTAATCGAAATTTCCGGAGCCCTCCACTACAGCGTCTTTCATAATCATATGGTGGTTTTGGGATGTTAATCCCCACATATCAATCAATCAATTTTTATAAAGCAAAACTTGCAGCCTAACTGCAACTGCAGTTGACATTTCACCAACATTACGTCTGCACAGGCTGTGTTTCGAAAGCAGCTGCGATTCTTGATGGGACCATAACATGTAATCTTTGCGACCGTCGGGTCAATGCTGCCAATGTCGCTTTTTGTTAACGCTCCCGCAATGAAATTTCCAACAATGTCTGTTTTCGCCATTCCTTCGGTAGGCATAAACCTCCAAACTACACATATGGCGCATAACCGCATATTGCAGCGCGTGGTACACAGGAATGTGCAGTACCAAAACGCCGGCGGATTCTATCTATCTATCTATCTATCTATCTATCTATCTATCTATCTATCTATCTATCTATCTATCTATCTATCTGTAAACGGATGTACGGATGAGTGGAACCTAAGACGACCCGATAACATTCTTTTTCTTCTCAGCTGTTGTGTAAGGGAGCAGAAAACACAAATCGTAGCTACACGTACGACTGCCAAACGCTGATTGATGATTGATTGTTATGTAGGGTTTAACGTCCCAAAACCACCATATGATTATGAGAGACGCCGTAGTGGAGGGCTCCGCGAATTTCGACCACTTGGGTTTTTTTAACGTGCACCCAAATCTGAGCACACGGGCCTACAACATTTCCACCTCCATGGGAAATGCAGCCACCACAGCCGGGATTTGAACCCGTGACCTGCGGGTCAGCAGCCGAGTACCTTAGCCACTAGACCACTGCGGCGGGGCGTGCCAAACGCTGTCTTCATTTTCTTCGGTTGAAGTTGCGCGCTCCTCGATTTGTGCAGCGCCCGAAGGGGCCGCTACAACGGTATCATGTGACGTTAAGTCACATGCCGTTAAATGTCTCGTCCCCGACGCCGCAGGACGGTCGCCGCCAACGGTCAAATTTCCTGCTAAACGAGCTTTCTAAGGCTTTCTCCTTCATGAGCTACACGCCAGCCTTCCTTCGCATAACAACCAAACTTGTTGCTCTCACGTTAATATATTTCGTCTTCAAGAAAAAAAATATGTGAATTTTTTTGGGGGGGGAGGGGGTGCTTCTGTCTGGTATTGTCTCGGCGCAATTAATCGCGTAATAAATTTACGACTCTACATCATGGATAATGTACTAATAACCTACTGTGACTGTGACTAGTTCACCTGTCTGTCAAGCTTTCGGAAAGCTGGAAATTTTTCCTTGCTTTGTGTTAACTCAAGTTCTTTTTTTTTCATTCAGGCTTACGTGCAAGTGTTCAGAAATGGTGAAGTGCCCAAGCCAAAATCCATGCTCCAGGTCAGCCATGAATAGTTCATCTTGCGAGCCTTCGATGACATGTGTTTCGCATTGCAGGCGACGGCTGAAGCAAGCCACCTGACCGCAAAGGACAGAGCGACGAAAGTGTACATGACAGCGATGTCCAATGTGAGTGCATGAACTGCTTAAGAAAGTGTATATGCATCCAATTTTGAACTGCATGGCTCGGTCGCGTTCCATGATGCCGCCTACGGCGAAGCAGCGTAGCGCAAAGTTTTATTTCACGCCGGAGGTAGACGTTTTTTTTTTTTTTTTTGATGCGTGAGGTGCTGAGTGTGCACCCGTTTGAAGAGGGTACCATATGGGCCGCCATCGTAGGCAACTTATCGGTGGTGTCGCTCAAGAACTTGGTAGTCCGGAGTAGCTGAGTGGGCAACTGTTTGAAGACGGTACGACATGAGCCGCCATCGTGCGCAACTTATCAGTGGTGTCGCTCAAGAACTTGGTAGTCCGGAGTAGCTGAGTGGGCACCCGTTTGAAGACGGTACGAGATCAGCCGCCATCATACGCAACTTATCGGTGGTGTCGCTCAGGAACTTGGTAGTCCGAAGTAGCTGAGTGGGTACCTGTTTGAAGACGGTACGAGATGAGCCGCCATCGTACGCAACTTATCGGTGGTGTCGCTCAGGAACTTGGTAGTCCGAAGTAGCTGAGTGGGCACCCGTTTGAAGACGGTACGAGATCAGCCGCCATCATACGCAACTTATCGGTGGTGTCGCTCAGGAACTTGGTAGTCCGAAGTAGCTGAGTGGGCACCCGTTTGAAGACGGTACGAGATCAGCCGCCATCATACGCAACTTATCGGTGGTGTCGCTCAGGAACTTGGTAGTCCGAAGTAGCTGAGTGGGCACCCGTTTGAAGACAGTACGAGATGAGCCGCCATCGTACGCAACTTATCGGTGGTGTCGCTCAGGAACTTGGTAGTCCGAAGCAGCGGAAGTCTTCGGGACCACCTGGATTTGTTGCTCGCGCAAGTCGAGGTACCGGCTTCAGTCGTAACTGCGGCACATACGAAAAAAAAGTTCTTTGTTTCGGGTTGATAAGTTGGTCATAATAATTAGGAATGCTTTATTGAAAGTAATTCACTTCATGTCAGTATTTATGTTCAGTATACCTTTTGAAATGACAAACATATTAAAAACAATACTTACGTGACAAGACGGTTTGGCGCTGCGAGTGACATTCGTGCTGCTCGCGTTTCTGGTTGTGTGCGCGTCACCGCGCGCTCCCAAGCCCGCGGGGCCCCAAGAGCTTCCGTATTCTCTCTCCTCCCGTCCCCGAAGTTTGCGCTACTTGGCGTTTCAATGAAGTGCCAACTAGCCCAAACAAGCACCTTGCCACCTACCAAACGAATAGGTAGAATACATGCATGAGCTATAAATCATGTATGAATCTTTCTTGATAGTACCTGTCAAAGCTATGATTAATCAACGAAAAAACCTTCATTGGCATGAATATATCGCCTAATGGCCGAATCGACGCAGAATTATTTGCGAATTGTCATCCCTACTTTTTTCCCCTGTTGTCAGACGGTTAAGCTCGGAAATTAAATCCCGTCGTCTACAGATGCTCCCAGCTTAGCTGGGCCAAATGATCTGAAAACAGGCCCGCGCGAACGACCGACTATATTACCGATAAGCTACCCTTCTTACAAACTCACTTTTTTGTATATGATGATGCTAGTAGTGTGCCGAGAAAAAGCACTAGGTACCATATTTGCATATATATTGTTACGCTTGAATCCACGTGAGCAACAATATTACCAAGCATAATAGCTTCCACCAAATTGTTCCTAAGGTAGTCCTGTGCTTAAACATTTTTACATACATATTGTAAGCTTAAGTTACTTTCATGTTTGAGCGACATCCAAAAATACGAGCAGATGATGCTGTGACTGGCTCTTCTTCTAAATGAACCATCCCCGCCGCGGTGGTCTAGTGGCTAAGGTACTCGGCTGCTGACCCGCAGGGCGCGGGTTCGAATCCCGGCTGCGGCGGCTGCATTTCCGATGGAGGCGGAAATGTTGTAGGCCCGTGTGCTCAGATTCGGGTGCACGTTAAAGAACCCCAGGTGGTCTAAATTTCCGGAGTCCTCTACTACGGCGTCTCTCATAATCATAGTGGTTTTGAGACGGTAAACCCCACATATCAATCAATCAATCTGAATGAACCACGTGTTCTGGCTTCTCTCAATGCAAAGAAGGTCCTAAATGCAGTGGGTGCTTTATAGCTGTTCCTCGTCTACAGAAATCAAAATACGTTTCAATCTACGCGTCCTTGTAGAAACCGTAAACAGTAAAAAAATACGCTTTCTTACTTCGTAAACAGCGCGTGAGCATTGGTGGAAAATTGTGGCTATTAAAGACACCTTCACAGCAAGAGTTCTTTTTGCACCTCGTAGTCCCGAAATTGATTACTAAATGCTCTAACACATCGTTTAAATAATGCTGGAGTCATTTATTCGAACAATTTTTCATCAGTTCAAAAGGCCCGCCCGAATACCGTAAGGAAAGAGCTCCCCAGAGTCGTGCAATGCTAGAGACCACGTGCGCTCAAGCTTCGGTGAAGACGAACAAGTTGTTTTCAAACAGGGGACCTGCGGGTGGTAAATAATAAAACGATGTGGGTGCTTTTAGAGTACCCCCCCCCCCCCCCAAAAAAAAAAGAAAACCTTTCCTGGTGTAAGCACCCAAAACCACCTTGAGAGCGGCCCGACAACCTAGCGAGAGGGGTGACGAATAATTATTCGTCCTCGCCAGCGGCCAGTCGGGGTATTGTGCAGCGCGCCTCGTAGATGTTCTCTGACGCCAACAATTCTTGTTTAACCTTGGCAGCGACTGCGGCACCTACGAAAAAAAAAGTTCTTTGTTTCGTGTGATAATGTTGGTCATAATTAATTAGGAATGCTTTAATTGAAAGTAATTCACTTCATGTCAGTATTTATGTTTTCAGATACCTTTTGAAATGACAAACATATTAAAAACAATACTACGTGACAAGACGGTTTGGCGCTGCGATGTGACATTCGGTGCTGCTCGCGTCTTCTGGTGTGTGCGCGTCACCGCGCGCTCCAAGCCCGCGGGGCCCCAAGAGCTTCCGTATTCTCTCTCTCCCGTCCCCGAATTTTGCGCTACTTGGCGTTTCAATTTGAAGTGCCAACTAGCCCAAACAGCACCTTGCCACTACCAAAACGAATAGGTAGGAATACAGCATGAGCTATAAATCCATGTATGAATCTTTCTTGATAGTACCTGTCAAGCTAGCTATGATTAATCAACGAAAAAACCTTCATTGGCATGAATATATCGCCTAATGGCCGAATCGACGCAGAATTATTTGCGAATTGTCATCCCTACTTTTTTCCCCTGTTGTCAGACTGGTTAAGCTCGGAAATTAAATCCCGTCGTCTACAGATGCTCCCAGCTAGCTGGGCCAAATGATCTGAAAACAGGCCCCGCGCGAACGACCGACTATATTACCGATAACTACCCTTCTTACAAACTCACTTTTTTGTATATGATGATGCTAGTAGTGTGCGAGAAAAAGCACTAGGTACCATATTTGCATATATATTGGTTACGCTTGAATCACGTGAGCAACAATATTACCAAGCATAATAGCTTCCACCAAATTGTTCCCTAAGGTAGTCCTGTGCTTAAACATTTTTACATACATATTGTAAGCTTAAGTTACTTTCATGTTTGAGCGACATCCAAAAATACGAGCAGATGATGCTGTGACTGGCTCTTCTTCTAAATGAAACCATCCCCGCCGCGGTGGTCTAGTGGCTAAGGTACTCGGCTGCTGACCCGCAGGGCGCGGGTTCGAATCCCGGCTGCGGCGGCTGCATTTCCGATGGAGGCGGAAATGTTGTAGGCCCGTGTGCTCAGATTCGGGTGCACGTTAAAGAACCCCAGGTGGTCTAAATTTCCGGAGTCCTCTACTACGGCGTCTCTCATAATCATAGTGGTTTTGAGACGGTAAACCCCACATATCAATCAATCAATCTGAATGAACCACGTGTTCTGGCTTCTCTCAATGCAAAGAAGGTCCTAAATGCAGTGGGTGCTTTATAGCTGTTCCTCGTCTACAGAAATCAAAATACGTTTCAATCTACGCGTCCTTGTAGAAACCGTAAACAGTAAAAAAATACGCTTTCTTACTTCGTAAACAGCGCGTGAGCATTGGTGGAAAATTGTGGCTATTAAAGACACCTTCACAGCAAGAGTTCTTTTTGCACCTCGTAGTCCCGAAATTGATTACTAATTGCTCTAACACATCGTTTAAATAATGCTGGAGTCATTTATTCAGAACAATTTTTCATCAGTTCAAAAGGCCCGCCCGAATACCGTAAGGAAAGAGCTCCCCAGAGTCGTGCAATGCTAGAGACCACGTGCGCTCAAGCTTCGGTGAAGACGAACAAGTTGTTTTCAAACAGGGGACCTGCGGGTGGTAAATAATAAAACGATGTGGGTGCTTTTAGAGTACCCCCCCCCCCCCCCAAAAAAAAAGAAAACCTTTCCTGGTGTAAGCACCCAAAACCACCTTGAGAGCGGCCCGACAACCTAGCGAGAGGGGTGACGAATAATTATTCGTCCTCGCCAGCGGCCAGTCGGGGTATTGTGCAGCGCGCCTCGTAGATGTTCTCTGACGCCAACAATTCTTGTTTAACCTTGGCAGCGTCCGGAGGAGATCTCTTTACTACGTCAAACACAGAAAAGGTCAATTGCACCTTAATAATCAGACGAGCACGCACCTTTACTCTAAAACCAAATTAATGTATCTAATAGGAAACGCTCATCACAAACAATCGGTCGGAACTGCCCCGCATGCAGAACTCTCAGACAGCACAAGCACCTAGAATTCCCAAATGTGCTGTCAGCGTTCCTTTGATGCTCGTAAACCAGAACAGTGATTAAGACGAAAGTCGTTGTGAGAGGCTTCGCAATATACAAAGCGTGTATGCCAATGCCCATTTCAAGCACGCTATGTCTCAATGCATTAGCGGTGAACTTGCAGCGATCCAGGGCCAATCTAGCCGAGCCACGAGGGGAAAGTGGTGGAGGAACGTCTCGTTGGAGTAAATGAGGCACTCTTCGAAAGTTAAAG